CTGTAGAATCGCCTAGAAAAGGTGAACCGCGACCTCGGGTTCATCCGCATGACTCTGAAACGATTCAACATCCTGCGATCTTCTGCCAACATATAGCCAACGGCTGCTGTGAACTGTCATGAATCATGATCTTTACCCTGGACTATATGAATTAATATTACAATGGAACAGTTGTTACACTGTACAGACTCCGATATGTACATGTTCAGTAAATATTTCTACTTTTATTACTGTAGGATCTATTTTGTATGTTTTATTACATGGTGAACATACTATAAAGTATATTTTAATAATGCCTAGATTTGTAAAGATATTTACTTTTTTAATGTCACAGAAATATGGGAAATTGTATGCTCGACTCGATATTTTTTATTTTATTTGTTTGCTGCTGATTTAAATGAATGGCAAAAGTTCAGACCTGCAGGGCAGCTCATTTGCATATACTTCCATTCCACTATGTGTCTTACGACTCTTAATTTAAATAACACTTGAAAAGGTTTATAACTCGCTCAAATATCAGGCTTTCACTGTCTGTGGCATGTTCATTAATTTACGTGATAACATTGCCTGTGCCATACGTGAGCAGAGAATGATAGCACATATCTGCTAATAAGAAGAGTAGAGTTAAATTGCCTTGTCGAAATCATCTCACGCAAAGAACACAAACCCAAACCAGCACCGACTGTTTACACATGATTATCAAAGCTAGACCTCTGACATTTTCCAGTGCAGCACAGGATGTACTGCTTACTTTGATGCATGAAATTTGAAATATGCTCTTCTCTGCTTTTCCATTGTTAGCTGTTGACTGTTCAGTTTTTTTTTCCCTGTAGCTCATGTAATCTATTTAACTGTTGCACAAAATGTTCCACAATTAAAACTGCATACTGAATCATGTGTTTGAGTCATTATGATTTGATGACATCTGGAATATGTTAGACTCTTGGCTGTTTGCTCAAATCATTCATTAAATGAGCTTGAAATGTGTTTGTGTTCATCAGAACTATTTGAGTGTTAAAGGCACAACTCGACCAAAAAAAGGAAAATTCATTTCTGGGATGTATGTAAGCGAAGAAGTGTGTGTGTGAGTTGTGAACGTGCGAGATTCAAACGTGCAAAAGCATAAATTATTTTGAGCTTGGGTGGAAGGCATGATTTTCAGTAATTATCAACTTAGAAGATATAGTAAAAAATAATGACTTTGAATTTATGTGACTACATTTAAATTTAGTTTCTCACAAAACAGTCATATTTTTTTAAATAGTTATTATTGTTATATTTTTTGGAGACTTGTTCACACCAGGAACAATAATTATAACTATATTAGCGTCCATACCAATACATAATAACATTCTGTTTATGTCGTCTGCCACTTTAAATGTTTGAGCTCTTAAAAGCAGGGTAGATTCTGATTGGCTGTCAATGTTTTATCGTTCCTCAGCTGGAAAAAACGTGTTGAAAGTGATTCCAATGATATCGTTCCTCTGTGTCGTTATTGTTATGAGGTGGACTCTGCTGTTTCTTTAAATTTAGAATGATTTTAAAACTATATTTATCGTTATAGTACAGTATATCGTTATTTTCTTAGATGTGAACCGAAGGGATAGTTCTCTGAAAATGAAAATGTTGTCATAATTTACTCACCCTCAAGTTGTTCCAAACCTGTATGAGTTTCTTTGAAGAATGTTCGTAACCAAACAGTTGACGGTAGCCGTTGACTTCCACAGTATTTTTTTCCCCCATATGTCTACTGTCAACTACAAACATTTTTCAAAATATCTTCTTTTGTGTTCAACAGAAGAAAGAAACGCATACAGGTTTGGAACAACATGAGGGTGAGTAAATGATGATATAATTTTAAATTTTGGATGAAATATCTCTTTAAAAACTATATATAGTTTTATACTATAACCATTCACTTTTAATGTTTGGAAAAGAGCTGATTGAACGTTTTGCAAAAAAAAAAAAAAAACGGCCTTTTTTTCCCACAGAAGCAAGAAAAACAGCTTTGCAATGCATTGAGGGTGAGTAAATGATCTTTAATTTATGCATGAACTTTAGGTTTACTTTCAAACTACTTGTTCTTTTTGTAGCTTGACAGCTAGTCCCCATCCACTTCCACTGTATAGACGAGCAGCTTGAACAATATGCGAAATATCTCCCTTTGCGTTTCACAGAAGCCATGTGGATTTGGAACAACATGGAGGTGAGTAAATAATGGCAGAATGTTTATTTTTTTGGCTAAACTATCTCTTTAAGAAACACTTATAAAAGCAGCGATTCACGCGTTACGTCGGCAGAGGGCGGTACAGCGATGGAAAAAATAACCCATAGAGGAAGGGGAGAGGCGAATTTGCCATCCAATGATATCGGACCAGAAATGATGCTGCTCGCACTTTCGGTAAAGATAGAAAGAAGGAAAGATCGTGCACGCACTGAAAAGCTAGGTCAAGGTTTTGAGAAAGAGCATACGCTTTAAATAGACCCACAGAACCCACGGGACGCCTCGCAAATGCACGGATCAGCATACCTGTACAGTTTTTCTGCACGCTGTTTTTTAAGGGATTAACTTTATGAGCTGCAGCGGATATAATGATGCAGGAAGCCCCACTGCCGCTGCTGTTCACGCTGAAAACAATGCAAAGGCAGTGACAGTCAAGCTCGAGCTCTGCTGTGTTTTAACCAGTCCTGTCACTTCCTCTTTGACGTGTGTGCATGTTGTGGACTGTCAGCCGTACGCGCTTTTTTAAAAGCACAGGACTTTATTTTTTGACTGCATGGAGGACACTGTCGGCCTGCTTTGCTGTTTTATTTAGTCGGCTCAACCTGGAGCCAGCGGCTCGCTTACAGACAGCGCGGGGAAATAGCGTTGCAGCGACCGGCAGACACCTCGACCTGCGGCGGGGATGTGTGTGAGCTAAAGCCGCCGGATATCGATGGCCGCGTCGCTCTGATAAGAGCCGCTTTGAGCTAAAGGTAAGAAAAAACAAAGCCCGCGAAATATCTGCTCGCGTTTGAAATGTTATTCTCAACGGTCTCATTTTTAATTTCAACGGTCGCTTGTGAGTTAGCTAGCCACGACCTTCTCTAGCTGTCAATCGTGACCAAAATAAATAATTAAACTCCTTAAACCCTGATTTTTTTAACCGATTGCCCCACTTAAACGAACCATTTGGGAGTTGTAATGAGATTAATGTATGTGGGTATTAAAGGTGTTATTTAATTGTGGAGGAGATTATCGTATTATTTAGATGCTGTAATTTTAGTCTTATCTTAAGGCTTTTACGGTTGTCTAGATTAGATGGGATTCATAAATGGGCCAATCTTCGCGGTAGCATGAATTGTTAATGAGGGTTATCACTGGGCAGTCAAATCACTTATCACCGTTTGATATTATAGTCAAACCCCTTGTACCTGTTGTAATGTATGCTGTATTCCTTATTCACTTTCATGAATTAGCATTGAATGTATTTATATTCTCATGGGTATTAGGCAAGATATCTTGGTTGTCATTTATATTTCTGTGTAATGTATAGATAGGTATGAAAATAGATTATTTTGCATATGTGTTTTCCTTAGGAAAGCTAGTCATGAGGTGTATAGTTTGATTTTTGGGTTTTGAATTTGTGACCTATCAAAGTTAATTAGCTGTCAGAGATAACTTACCTGGTTGAAGATTAGTTAGCTCTACAAGTGACATTATCTGCTGTAAGTAGACTGATGAATACCTAATTCAAGTCATTCTGTGCTGTGAATAAGTAATATAACTTTTTTTTTTTGATGTCAACATTTTAGGTTTGCGATGAACACTGTTCCTGCATGTATGGATTTTTAAAATAATAGAAAAACATTGTGTTTTTATACAATGAAAATGTTAAAAAGAAAAAAAGTTATATGTTATAAAATTAACTATGTCTGAAGCAAAAAAATATATAATATAATAAATAAAAAATATAATAAATATATAGCTATTTTGATAAAATTTTTCAAATTGTGCTACACACTCTAAAGTATCTTATTAGATAGATAGAAATTGATACTTATGAATATAACTTATGTAATATGACTTTTGGATTTTTCTTAACGTAGGAGCACTGTTGATGTTTACCCAAATCATTTTAAAAATATTTTATCATTTTACAATAGTTTTTTGCATATATGGTTGACTCAAATCATGACACAGACGTGACTTTCTATCATGTGTTTTTGCAAGTCCATATTATCTATCTATCTATCTATCTATCTATCTATCTATCTAATACTGGTTCCCCCCAATATTCAGATTAGTGTTGACCAATGGCTGATCATTAAATTTTTACATTTGGTCCCCCCCAGTCCTAAATATGTGGTTACATCCTCGATATCTAGCATTAATTTCATCTGTCTTTGATTAATAAACACATCAAACACAGTGCATCATCCAGTAATAATTTCAGTCTTGTCAAGATAATTGGGACGTTCTTCACATCTTAATCGCAGGGTCACAATTATCTCTTCATGGAATTGTTAATTTTAGCTGCTATTCCACTTCGGAGCCTCGTTTTGCCGTGCGCTCGCAGGACACTCCCTTTCGCCAGCAACCTACATTTTTAGTTAGCGAGACCTCATAGTTTGCCATGTTCTTTTCAAGCACATCGAGGGAGAGGAAAAAATGCTTCCCTGTATCTAATTATGCTGCCAAAATGATTAGGTTTGTTCTTAATGAATCCTGTTATGAAGCAGCCATCGTAGAAAGAATGAGTCACATTGATTGCCTTCCACTCCCCCCTCCTCCCGGCACGGCCGGAGAACGCCTGCTAATGGCTGCAGCTCCGTCAGGGATGTACGGTAGACGGAGGTGAGGCAGGCCGCTGCCAGGCTCATGACAGCATGCCGATGTGACCCCGACACCGTCAGCAGCGGGCCGGTGGCACAGCGAAGAGAGGGAAGAGGAACGGCGGGGCAACACTACGCAGTTGCACCTTGTTATTTATAACTACATAGTAAACATTGCAATGTATTCCCTCCAAACAAGGCAACCAAGGATGCTAGGAACCACGAAGCTGCTACAGAACATACTTATGTTCATTTAGGCCAGGAAGTTTGTCATCCATTGTGTTGTTACTGCGAAAGAGCCAGTGCTGAGCTTTCTTTACAGTGGCTTTTTCTTGGGAAAAATTTAATAATTTTACATCACAATCAATGTATATATTACAATATAGATAACTTTGCTGTAAATTCAACCACAAAATGTTTTATGTATTACATAAACATTATAAAAATTGCTGTTTTTGTTAATCCACCGAATTAAATATACTTTAATACTTGAAAAGATGATTAAATGAATAAGTCGGGTACCAAATCAAAGCAAAAACAGCTTTGCATTTTATATAATACTTCCACTCTCAGAAAAAAGGTACAAAAGCTGTCACTAGTGCAGTACCCTTTTAAAACGTACTAAAGTGTACCATATAGGTACTAATGTGTACATTGTAGAGACCGATATGTACCTTTAAGGTACCAGTACGTACCTTTTAGGGATAAATATGGTACAAAGATGTACCTTTTGCAAAGGTACTTCCTTAGTGACAGCTTTTGTACCTTTTTTTTTTTTTTGGAAGTGTAAGTGTAAAAACAAGACATTTGAAAAAAAAAAAAAAAAATTGCAATGTTTGAAGCCATTGTAATGCGGCTGATATATGAATAAATGTAATAGAGAGCAGCAGCCTTGACGTCAAAACCCAGAAGACTAATTCACCATGGGTTCCCTTGAGATTTTCCTATGGGTTTTTATAATGGGGTTTTTCTAGTAAAATAAGGTCTGTGGAAAACATAACTTATGACACTTGGATGTTTTATTGTACTGTACAATGTAAACTGCTCACACACCAAACATTCTTATGCAGTTACTTATTGCAAACATGCGTTTTTTTAAATTCAGTATGTGTGTTATCAATATGCATTGCGAAATGTCCATGTATTGTCATTTACCACAGAACTTATTTTACTCTAAAACTATATATTTTACTTTAACTATAAATTGAAAACCCCCATTATAAAAACCCATAGGAAAATCTCAAGGGAACCCATGTTGAATTAGTCTTCCAGGTTTTCATCAAGTCTCTCTATTGTATGCAAGGTGATTTTTATGTTAAATCTTTTTTTTAATTTTTTTTTTTATTATGCTATTTTTTTATTAAGTTGCAGCTTTGCTTAACAACCATAAACATCCTCTTAAACTGTGTCTACACAACATAAATTGCTCCTATTTCAATTAGGGATGCTCCGATCCGCCTTTTTCGCCTCCGATACCACTTCCGATACCTAGGGTTCGGTATTGGCCGATACCGATCCGATACCAGTGAAGTTTTTTCCCCCTATTTAAATAAATGTAGAATTTATATATCTCTGTGTGTGGAACTGATAATCATTCTTTCACAATCTACTAGATACAGACTACTTAATTATAAAGAAAAATAAAATAAACAATAAATATGAAAAAATATAGGCCTATGTATATTTATAATCTATGACAAAAATTTATCATAAACTAGGTTAGTGGATAATTCAGCTGTAAGGACTTAAATATTCATATGTAGCTCACATTAAACTATCGTATGGCTTCAGAAGTAACACAGAATAATTCGCACAATCGAAAAAAAAAAATCTCGGATTTGGATCGGCCCTCTCTGGCCGATACCCGATCCGAGAAAAATGGCACTATCGGAGCCGATACCTGATATGAATATCGGATCGGCACATCCCAAATTTCAATCAGCTATAAATGCATGTCTGCGAGATGAGTTTCAGCGTAAACAGTTTTTTCTTTTGCGCCATAGTATAAACTGTATCAGAATCGCAGGTTGACTTGTTTATGCCATTGCATGGTACATACCATCATGTATATCTTCCTAGCCCTTTCTTTAAAATGAGTGAATGAATGAATGCAAAAGGAAAATCTTACATCATACGAGTTTTGTTCGTGTTCGCATGCGTGATATAATGATATGATGTATAATATATGATGATAATACTGATAATACTGTCAACCCTATTGGCAAAGGGCATCTCAGGAACCACACTCCAGTGGTTTGAGTATTATCTCTCAGATAGGTCCTTCAAGATATCTTGGAGAGGTGAGGTTTCCAAGTCACAACATCTAACTACTGGGGTGCCTCAGGGCTCAGTTCTTGGACCACTTCTCTTCTCTGTCTACATGGCATCACTAGGTTCTGTCATTCAGAAACATGGCTTTTCATATCACTGCTATGCTGATGACACAACTCTACCTCTCATTCCATCCTGATGATCCTATGATAGCTTCTTGCATCTCAGCTTGTCTAACAGACATTTCTTGGTGGATGAAGGACCATCACCTTTCACTCAACCTTGCCAAGACAGAACTGCTTGTGGATCACTCTCAACTCTCAATCTGTTCATAAAACAATCAGTCTTCATGTATTTCATAATCACAATCACACAGCATGTGGTTCATATTATATATTCCAGTTCTATCAAACCTTTACAATTAATCTAGAACGCAGCAGCAAGGTTAATTTTTAACGAGCCAAAAAGAATGCACGTCATACCTCTGTTTATCAGTTTGCACTGGCTACCAATAGCTGCTCGCATAAAATTCAAGGCATTAATGTTTGCCTACAAAACCACCACTGGCTCTGCACCCCTTTACCTAAATTCATTACTTCAGACTTATGTGCCCTCTTAGAAGCTTGCGTTCTGCAAGTAAACGGCGCTTTATTGTGCCATTCCAAAGAGGCACAAAATCGCTTTTCGGACTTTTAAATTAAATGTTCCCTCCTGGTGGAATCAGTGTTAATTTGACAGGCATTTTTGATTTATCTTATCTGTCTTTAAAACTATTAAGCATTTTCGTCTCAAGAACATTTTAAAGGACAAGACAGTAGCCTATAGGATGTATTTTGAATGTCCGGTAGTCCTCAAATAACATTATAGTCTCGTCTTGTTAACGAAGACGC